TGCATTGGCGATGGGTGCACGATTAGTGGGCCAAATAACAGTTTGGGCCCGTTTAAATGAAAACATATTTTTACTTTCGTGCTCAACAGACCGACCGCACTGGCATCTTCTAAATTTACCCCTAAAAAATTGCTCTGTACGCATCAAATTTGAAATGGAATCCCTCTTTTCTCATTTCACATTTATATGATGTGTAGATTGTGATGAGTGTAGATGTAGACCTGTCATTGTCCTACAAATTCATTAACACGCCAAAAAGTGGTGAAATGAGCCACCCTATTAAACACAATCTTGTATAATGATCATTGGATCCAATCATGCCAGATTATGAAGAAGTTTAAAATGTAGCGGTTATCCCGACTAAAACATTAAAAGAACCAGTCTCATATAGTTTGCACAAAGATATAATTTCTCCATAGTAATTCTGAAAAATAATATTAATTTAAGAAGTCGATATTGCTTCTACATGTTTAATATTGCAATTCGATATGCAATATTCGAACCAGTGATATTTGGGCTGCAATTTTAGGGTTATTGTATATTTATAAAATAGATAGAAATTTAAATTAAGTATTAAACTACAACTAAAATAATCAAAGTATTAAAACACCAAATAAGTACTTACGGGAGATTCAGTGGCCAACTAATCGTTAAAAAAGTCATATGATTTTCATAATTTAGGTTCATGTATGTTTGAATTTAAATAGATACAATAAATATACTTGGAGTGATTGGTTATGATCCTTGCTTGCCTTAAAAGAGACCAAGGTTCAATTCCCAGTGCATGTTTTTTTTATGATAAATAAATAAGAAAATAAGCAATTGTGAAGACCAAAATGTCCTTCCTATAATCACTCTCGTTGCAGGAATTTTGAAATGGAGCAACCGTTTTCATCATTTGGCTTTTATTTATTATCTAGACTAGCTAGCCAATATATCCCAAATCATCTCGTATACAAACAGATGATACATAACCAATTATATAGACAATCCCCCCTTCTCATTAGGGGTGGGCAACGGGAGGGGACGGGATACCGGTCCCGTTTGAAACGGGTACCCGATCCCATTTAGAGAGCAATCTCCATCCCATTCCCAAACCCGTACGGGTTAACGGGTACCCATTACCCATACGGGACGGATAACGGGTACCCATACTACCCGTAAATACCCGTTCAATTGGTGGAAGAACTACAAAAGTTTTAACACACAATTAAACAAACCCACCTAAAATGAGAAGCTGCCACCATCACTATCATGAACAGACAATTACACAATTAAGGAGAGTTAGAAGGCTAATATGAGAAACCTACAAACAATTACATAATAAAACTAACCTACAAGACCACATAATCTGAACACTAAAGTCTAAAAGAGTGAAAGAGAAGCCGCCAAAACAACAACAAATTCTTTAGTTCTTTGGCTCCAAAACAGGAGCAACACCTTCTTTGTTCTTTGACTCCAAAATTCCAGTCGAATCCCTTCTTTGCACTAATGAGTTTTTGGCTTTTTGGACTAATGGGTATAACGGGTACCGTAATACCCAAACGAGTATACGGGCAACCCGCGGGTACCCAAAGTAGTGATTGTTGATCCCAAATCCCATCCCGATAAAAAAAATACGGGTATTTGGGTACCCGTAACCCTTAAAAAAGGGGATGGGTACGGGTATACCCAAATACTCGTTTCCCATTGCCCACCCCTACTTCTCATTATTTGATAGTAGCCAGTAGGGTTCTCTTTTAACTTTCTTTAATTGTTCAATTGGGGTTTAAATACTGGTGACGACTTCTCATTATTAACTAGGTTTGTAATTGTTTAATTTTATGTTAAACTTTCGTGGTTCTCGGATTTTGCTACTAGTTGGAAGGGTATATACGGGTAATTTGGGGATCCGTTACCCTATACGGGTTTGCGACATGGGATGGAGTTTCCCCTCTAAATGGGATTTGGTACCCGTTTCAAACGGACCGGGTATCCCGTCCCGACCGGTTGCCCACCCCTAAATTATGGTGATCAGTGGCATAGCCAGAAATTTTGTTAAGGTGGGTCGAACAGTGACATAGGTCACTATGTACGACAAGCAATGAGAGACATAGAGTCATAGACAACCTTCTCTGCTAGTATGGTTGATAGAATGAAGATATTTTGGAGCTCTAAAGGGTGAGTCCATGTTTTCACTTTTTCACGAATGAGATTTATGAAGAAAGATTAACGAAATCGAAAGAGAAATAATAGAGAAAAAGATAGATATATAAATCGATATAAGAGAAAGAATTCTCTTTAATGGCAAGAACAGAATCTTTAACATTTTTCGAGAAAAGACAACCTCCCAAATTAACACATAGGTATGTAAATCTTCATTCTGATCATAGTACATACTCTTCCCTCTATCTATCTCATACTTTAAATAGAGAGCATAAAATTAATAATCCTACAACCCAGCAAATTAAACGGAAAACTCCTAAAATATTTATTACTAACTAAAGCCCTTAATTCTATTCAACCACTAATTCACGTCTAATAATCTCACCAAAATAGAAATGGAGCTTACAATTACAAGACCAAAAGTTGCTGATGTCCTTTTGTTAAGAGGCTTAAAGTAGTGGTTAATTGCATGGTTGGTCACTGAGATTACAAAAAACGTTCATGTTTGGTCACTGAAAATATTTATATCCAATCTTGGTCACTCAAATGAGTTAAATGGTTCAAGTTTGGTCACTCTCCGTCCAACTCCGTTAAATATGTCTGATGTGGCAGTCAACCCTCAAAGTTGACCGTCAACTCGGTGACGTGGTAATTAAAAATTAATAAATAAAATAAATTTTAATCTTCTACCATTTCCAACTCATTTTCACAATAAAGTAAAATAAAAAAATAAAAAAATAATGTTTGGGCTATAACTTATACTAGGCCCGTTTACACATTTTAGAAGAGAGTGGGCTAGGGCTAAGGCTGCAGTGGAGTCATCTTCTCCATCGAAAGATAAGCTCATTGATGTTTATAATTCTATTGTATGCTACTATATGCATTATGCTTAGTATTACCGATATTGTTAAAAATATTACTATATAGGGATACCCTATTGATGTTACACGAGCTTGGATGGAATGATTAACCATCTATACTTCGAGTAGTATCAATGTTTGATTGTTAGATAATCGATGATATAGACTACGATTACGGTTTGTGGAAGCTCACAATTAATTATATGTTATCATAAATTCATCGTTCTTCATTGATTAGGTAATGACATGAAGTGAAAGTACACATTAGTTAGTTAAATCTCTATCAGAAGAGGTGCATGCATGGGGTAGAGAGTGGCCTTAGAGGAAGGTATAGGATGTTACAATAGATTAAACATTGATACATAATATGAACAAGCCCTACTATGCATGATAGTTTTAGAGTTCACTACCTTCTATAATAACTTATATTTACCTTTATGCATATATAGATTTAAAAAAATCACTAAACAATTTTACTCTTCTTGCTTTGTTTGTGTTTAAATGAAAACCCCTAAATGTCTTTCAAATTTTTGTATATGTCATGGATGAGTGTGAGTAGTTGTGCATTAGAAGACCTAGAGGAGTACGACCCTAGTGCCTCCTAGTATTTCATCACTATATTAAACATCAGTATGTATGATTTTAGTTTTCATGCATATATATGTGATGATCATTGATGTTTATTTAGTATGAATTATTTTTTCTCATTGATGCTTATCATTCTATAATATACTACTATATGCATTTTGCTTAGTATCATCTAGGTTGTTCAGAAATTATCATTTAGTGACACCGACACAAGTCCCTCTATTGTCCCCCCAGATTACCATTATATGACATGTCCAGACTCCCCAGCCAAAGGTTAGGGAGAAAAACCCAGAAAAAAATCCAAATTGCGCCCATTGTCATCACTGTCTTGTACTAGTTGTCACCCAGGTTGTCCTCTCTCAAATAATTTCTAGATTATTCCTTTTTCTTTCTCACCACTCCAATCGACTAATTAACTTCAGCGTTGGAGGGTGCCTTTGTCGAGATCCGCTGGTGGACTCTTTTCGCAAGGATAAGCTGGAGGTGACATCAAGAATAAAAGCCTATATAAAGAGTGCTCATCATCCCACTTTGATACCCAATATATATCAAAAAATTTCGACGTTTGCTACAACCCCAACATCAACCCAAACAATACACTCTCTAAAAGTTATATGTAAGTACCTAATTTTACTTTTCTTTAACAATTCAACACCTAAACTTTAAAGCAATCTACAAACAGGTCTGAATTTTTTTTGGACAAATCCGAATTTTCATACTACTGTCTGAAGACATGCATTTGAACAAATCCAAATGCATATCAAATTTACCTAACATGCAAAGTCCAAACAAATCATTTAATATTTGTAATTCAAAACCTCAAATCTCAAATTTCAAACCCAAACCAACTCTTAATACAACAACAACAACAACAAATCCCCTACTAATCATTAATCCTCCTTGTCCCAATCCTCATCCAATTTCCCAATTTATTATCAAAACAATGCAACTCTTTTCTCTCTGAGTAGAAGAACAGCAACGCCTTGTTTGATGTTGCCATATACCAATTTCTTATATTTTTTCCCCTGCAGCTGAAAGCAATACGTACCAGAAGGAAGCCACCAATAATTTGACTCTCCCCTCGCTCACTATATCAAAAAGTCCTTTCTCTCCTTTCCAGTACCACAAAAAGCTCAAATTATGGTAGAAAGCGGCTACAGACCGACGGCTCTTCCGCCGCCGCGGCCGCCTCCTCCTTCTCCCTCCAAATCCTACCTCCCGATGCTCTACTACGGCCTAGTAGTCGTCGGCACCGCCGCCGTCGTCCTCGCCCTCTACAACGTCGTCATCATCCGATTCTGCATCCGACACCGCCGCCCGCCGTCGACTCCCGGCGGCAGCGACGGGGAAGCTGCGAATCACTACGGAAGCCGGGGCCGCCGCCGCGTGAATAACTAGCGAGCGCTGTCGAGCTTCAAGTACAGGAAGCAAGGAAGAGAAGGCGGCGGCAGTGATGATGACGACGACGACGGCAGCGGCGGCGGCGGGAGGAGGAGGAGGAGCTTCGGCGAGTCGTGCGCGGTGTGCCTGTGCGCGTTCGAGGAAGGGGAGGAAGTGAGGCAGCTACCCAACTGCGGCCACCGCTTCCACGTGGCGTGTATTGATATGTGGCTCTACTCTCACCCCGACTGCCCTCTCTGCCGTGCCGCCGTTCAGATTTCGCCGCCGCCGCGGCCCATAACTACGACTACTACTTCCGCCGGAGCAGCTGCCGTGTCGATGACGTCAGGCAGCCAGTCATCGGCCGGTGGACAACGACGAGAAGGGATTGTGTTGATGATAAGCTCTGCTCCCCTTACTTGATTAAGCTTCGAGCGAGTTTAAATTTCTTAATTCGTTGATCGATAAAGTAATTACGGAAGACGGTAGAGAAAAATTAATTACTTGTAACATATTTTAGGTTCTGTAAAATTCAAGGATTGAAAATAGTCGGTTGTAGTCGAAAAGTTAGTGATAGATTATTTTATGTTGAAATCGGGGTTTAACTGTCCATGGTTCACCTGTTTCCATGGTTCACCTGTTTCATGCTGATAAATATTGCCTATCGATTTCGCTTTCAATAGGATGTTTTTCTGGTCGAACTGCTAATACGGTATGGTTTTTCAATTATTGATGATGTAAGAAGAATCCTGGAATCCGAACTCGCTCACGAATCAGAATACGCAGCTCTTACTTAATTTTTAGGGTTTTTTCTGGGATTTTCTCAAGAACACAAAAAATAAAAGGATAGGATGGGAAAAGATTGTCGTGCAACAATTGAACACACATGAAGAGGCTCGAACAATATCAGTGTAGATGCCTGTCCACGATCAATGTGATTTTGATCGATACAGAGCTAGACTCGAGTTTGGAATCCACCAAACTCACATTCAGGAGTAAACACTCAAGAACAAAAGGTTTTTTTTTTGTTCATCAAAGTCTTAATCGTCTCTTAAAATTCGTGGCTTACAAATCCTTTAAATAGGTATGAAAAATAAACATAATGAAAACATCAAAAAGGAAAAAAAATCTAAATGAAAAGATAACAAAACTCGGTAGGACCCAAAACTCGATCTAAATACCTGATCGGATATTTTACATCAATGGCTGGGGAAAATTCCTGGACCGAGTCCCCGGTCTCTTCTCTCATTTCCCCAGTCGGGGAACTGATGATTCCGGCCGGGTTTCTAATCTGCTTTGGCGGCCGGGAATCATATCAATTGATAAAATCACGATTGGACAGTTTTTTTACAATGACTATTGGTCCTAAGTTTCAAATCTAAAATGAACAAAGAGAAGAAAAAAAAGAAGCTAATGTTGTTGTCCCTTGCCTTGTCTGGAACGGCTTGGAGGTTTCGTCGTATTGATTGTAGTAGATTAGTAAAGAGTAGATGGCTGACGGTGCAAGTAACGACTCCTTTATCTCATTGTTTTTTGTCGTTTTACAAACTCGATTTGATTCTGATTATCTTTAGTCAGTGGCCAAGATTAAATTAAGGAGGGCCAAAGAGCGCTCTAATCATAGATACTAATTACTCAATATACAAGCTAGAAAAGCATTCCCTCTGCTTGGAGGTGTGCCAATTTATCCCAAGCCATGACACTCTTTGTTCTTCCATTCGCCCCACCTATGCCCCAAAAGAGTTAAATTGCAAAGATGTATAACGGTGATATAGGTTTGTTTTTTGGTAGTTAAGTAATATTTGAATACGGAACCTCCAAATTCAAGACAAGTGTGTGATATTATCATTATATTAAACTCTTGTTCGTTATCACCTATTGACATTCATCTAAAACTGAGTCAGGCTATGTATCACAGCATAAATAAGCTGAATTTTCACAATATAGCTTAGTAGCTTTTGCCTCCATCTAGAAATTCAAGCAGTAAAACTATGGACATGAGCTCGACATTCTTGCAATGTCAATTTCCTAACTTTAAGAGTAACTTCATGGTTATTGGTTACCTCTAGTTAGAAGTGTTGTCTAGGCCTGCAAATGAGTCGAGCTGTTTGCGAGCGAACTCAACATTCGGTTTGGGAAAAACTCCTACGAAAGATGGCTCGTTTACTAACGAGTCAAACTTTAGCTAAGCTTTGTTCAACTCACGAAGCTCGCGAGCTAGCTCGACTCGGTGGCTTGTTGAGCTCAACTCTTGAGTTGGCTCATTTAGAGCTCATGAAATGTCTCAATATTGTGGCTATAGAGTCAACTTGATCACCGACTTATGAGCGAATCGATCTATATCTAAGGAGTTGGATTTTGATAATTCATAGAATCGTTAGACTATTTATCTCACCCTATATGAAGTTTAACATGTTGAGCATGCAAGAAAATATGTCTTACTTTTAATTTTGAAAAGAAATTATGTACCATAAAATATTTTGATCAATGTATGCATTGTAATATACATGCAATTAATGAAAATGATGTAATGTACTTTGCATTGTTTGATTTTGGAGATAGTTCTTTTAGTATTCAATTAATTCTATTACTTTTTGTAGGAAAGATCACTTTTGCCCTTGCTTTTATTAGAACATATATATAACTAGGGGTATAATTGGAACAAAAAAGAAACCCAACAATCTCCCCAAAACTATCTCAACAATCTCAAGTTTTAGTAGAGATATTACTATCACTCATTTTGAGTGATAGTTTCCATCACATCAACAAAACAATGCATGTATTGTTTGTGCAGAAAATTTAAAAAAACAATGCATTGTGGACAATGCATGTATTGTAACTATCACAACCAAACAATCACCAAAATCAAACGACCCATAAATAATATGGTAGCAAAAAAAGTATAATATGAGATTAGTTAATGTTGAACATTTGACTATTATTATTTTTTTCATCATGACATCAATCACATGTATCATACATGACATACAAAATGAATCTATCAAACACGAGTTAAGATTTTAGTAAACAAGCCTAGCTCGAACTTGACTCGACTCGGTTCATCAATAAACAAGTCGACCTCGAGCTTCGCTCGTTAGGGGTAAAGCTCGGCTAGACTCAACTCATTTGCATCCCACTCTAGCCGCCATAAGTTTCATACCATCACACAAAATTACTCTTATATGGATTGAAATGTAGGCCTAAAAGGAGGTAGAACTCCTTAAGAAGCCGACATACATTTGTGACGGCTAGAACATACCCATAGGAGAAAAAGTAACAAGTCATCCACAAAAATTATGTAATCCCCAACCTCTTACACTTGAGATGTTGTAAGATCTTTTGAGGAGAATGCATGAAAGAACATCCATAGCAATTGTGAAGAGATAGGAAAAAGAGAATTGTATGCCGCAACGATATGCATGAGATAGTGATACAATACAAGACTTTATCTAATCCAACAAACGAGCGAGCAATTCCATTGGATACATAACATTCACCAAAAAGTTTCAATCAACATATTCAAAGGCCTTTGTAAAATCAAATTTAAGAGTGTTTCTAGGAATATTAGTAGCTATGTTGTTTCCATTTACCAGTTTGAAAGCCATTACGATGTTGTCATTGATAGCTCTTCATTGAAGAAATGCACTTTTTTTTATGAATGATACGTGGATATATAAAAAGGGTAAATGATCACAAACTGTGATCCATCCCAAAGAATGTCAATGATAAATAGCCAAGAAGGTTTTACAAGAACTTATATCCACCTAATATGAACTCTCTTCCTCGAAGTGATCAACTAGTCTATATATCTAAGAAGATTAGGAGGTACGATAGCAAACCAATAGTGATATGAACCTCAACTCTCTTGCAAGCTAAATTTCCTAACCCAATCACCATACTCTCTGACTGTACACTTACCAAAAGCTCTAACCCAACCCCCAATTCAATGAACAATTTTGTACAAAAGTGTAACCTTTGATATCTCACATTCTCTAAAGATTCTATTGTTTCTCTTATTCCAAATAGACCAGACCAACCCCAATCAAACTAGACCAAAAAAAGAGGAGTGGAGGCCATTGAATGTTACTTATGTTGTTAGGTTGGAATCTAGACAAACTAGGTGATATTATCTTGGTTATGCATATATAGATAACATTGTAGCAAGACATCGACCTAAAGTGTTTCATGTGAGAGCCAAAAAGTATTTTGGGGATGAAGCTTAGAATAGTGGAATTGATTTCCTTTGGAGGTGAGCAGTCGCAAAGAGATACATCCAGACTGTCATGGGCTCATGGCACATGATTAAATCAAAGGGTTATAGTTATTGGAGACATCGAGGGGTTGGTTTTGTTTACAACCAACCCTCATATATATATATATGGATAAATATTGAGTTATCAAATTGATTAGGATAAATTAAGTCCCTAGTGGTATGGGTTTGATACTCTGCATTGCAATCTACTGAGTATCAACGTTTTATTTCACAACAAGCTAGACGACCCAAAATTATTTTGTCTACATTACCAGATACTATTAATGAAAGGAGATTAGAGCTTTATGAACCCTTTAGTGATATGGGGTTTTTTTAAGTCGAATTTGACATGTATTTGTATAAAACTGAAGTAGTCGTTGTAGCAACTACCAAGTTATGAACAACCGCTATATTTAAGAAATGATGTTCTAAAACTGTAATAGATCGATACATGGTATCCATATGCTTCCCTCTCGAAACTAGTAATAAACTCTGGCCTATGCTTGCGCGGAGGTTGGTGCTGAATTTCCAAATCTAAGGTTGTACACATATTATCATATCAAATTCCTGTCAAAACTAGTAATAAACTCTGGCCTAGGCAGTGTTGGTTCTCTGCTCTGTACACTAAACTCCTTTCATGTATGACCAAATCTGTAATCATCTTTACAAACTGCAACGTAGGAGGTAAGTGTTGTCCTCCACCAGTCCATCACTTGCCTGTTCAATCATATGGCAGACATATAATCGAAGTCAGAAAGACAGGACAAACAAACGAACAAGAACCAAGCTGAGTAACTAGGCAGCAACTGATAAATGGTTCGCTACTGGACTAACCTCAAATCCCATCTTCTCAAAAAGCTGCAGTGCAGGTTTGTTGTTTCTATCCACATGAACGTACATAAGTTTCACACCTGCCACCGGAATCAAGTCCAGAGTCCCAACCACACTCTTCAGTACTGTGGGTTTCACCATCCCACCTTACTTTCTCAGCTAAGAAAAGAAACAACGAGGATGACTTTGTAACGTTTTCCCTCAAGCTGCTATGCAAAGATATAAAACTATAGACGACGGAAGCACGTACTGTGATTATGCACTTAGGCTGTTGGCCAAATGGACCAATGAATCGGGTTCTAATGGCACCGAACTCCTGCCACCAATTAAGGAACAAAGCCCGTAAATAGATAATTTAGTGGAATTCTTGTTTATACCAGAAGAAGCCAACTGAAGAAGAGTAAAGAAAAGTCCACAAATGCTACCTCATTCGCATATTTCATATTCAGACTCTGAGAAAATCTGTGTTCATCATATATAGGCCAAAATCATTAGGGTCTAACTACTGGTCTTAACCTTAACAATGAACCATTCAATTCCAAATGCACTACAATCAAGTTTTCAAGTGAAAGGCGATCAATTTAAACTAGCAAGTGGACAAGAACGGCATGAACAAGAATCAATGAAGAGGACCATAACAATACAGAAATTGGGAATCAGTAAAAGGCAGTTTCAATGGATTTTACTGTACCTGTCTTTATCTCGATTCTCCCAGTGGCTTTCTGCTCGCAGTCAGGCTGCTGTCTGCGGGCAATCACAAAAAGCCAACATTGGAGTCATTGCTTAGCATCAAATTAACTGCAATGGCCCACGATCACATCATGATACTGTGGCCAAGAATCGAAACAAGAAGTGCGAGGGAGAACAAGATAATTTTGAAGGTTTCCTTCCAGAGAACAAACAGAATCCAGATGAAGGAGCCCCAATTGCAGCAGAACCCAGAATAGGAATCAACAAGGAAATGATGGATAGAATTAGCACGAGGGATTTACCCAGAATTCTTCATCAATTAAAGCCCCTCTAGCAACGAATTGCCTGAACTCCATCTTGCTATGTTCACCAAATCCTCCTCGGGTAACTGCAGGCGATCAAAGCGCAGATCAGCAGCTTGGGCGTGTCGTCCCCTTTTGGATCAAATGCTGCAGGGTGATGTACGTGAAAAGAAAGCTCTTCCCACTTCTTGGTCCGTAAAGACCCAGAATTCATCGACCTGAAACTCGGCGAAAGATATCCAAACAAGAACAGAATCATGGACTTCCCGAGAAAGAAAGGGGGGGGGGGGGGGGGGGAATCGAATCAGTGGCGGTCACTAATTTCCCACCCAATTCCCAGAGAGAAAAGAAGGAACAGAAAGAACCAAGCAAAGAAACAGAAAAGGAGAAGAGAAAAGCGTAGTTGGATTCGCACATTCTCCAATAAGCGGTGACAGTGGAGAGCTTGTGAATGCTTCTGGAAGAGGCCGGAGAGGTCAAGAGCACCGGTGGCGCATGAATGGGAACAGCGGTAGTCAGCATGGTAGCAAGGACTTCTCTGAATCGGCTTCCCGCCAAAGAATTTCGATCTTTTGAAGCGGAGAGAACAGAGGAAGAAGAAGAAGAAGAGAGGGGAAATGGCGATGGCTTCCTTTCTGGCTGGTTGATTCGTCGCTTTCCAAATGACTGAGACTTTCTGATTCAGTTGGTTTGTTGCGGCGTTAACAGAAGGGAAAAGCTTATAAAATGAAGGAAAAAGGATCGTCGCCGTTCCTGACTGCAGTGGGCCCCATCAACTTTGGATGAGGTGGAAAATAAACAATAAAATGTATATTCTTAATCCATGTATCTGATCATTTTGACTGAATTTTAGCCTTGGAAAATTTTCTCCCTTCTAACAGGAGGATAAGCATTCTTCCTGTAGTGATTTATTGTCAATATGACCTGTATAGCCACGGAACGCATACCGCTATGGCGCATCACTTGAGATTTTGGGCCATGGAAAGATTCATGGAGATTCTAAAGGAAGCTGATGACTTTGCCATCATGTGGTTTTTACTTGAAGGGGTAAGGATACAAGCACAATGAATTGCAAGGAGGAATGAACCTATAATCATACAAAAGAACACTCAGATTACATTGATTGAGTTAAAAATAATAATGTATTTTCTTGGAAATCGACAATACAAAAAGGCGTCTTATTGCAAAAAATCACTCGTGCAATGATATAGAGTAGGCTCCCAGCAACGGTAGGGTTTATAGACCTCTGGAATCCCAGTTATATCAAAGAATTTTCATGTTGCTCTATCATAGATGGCATAATCAATATTAGAAATTGAGATAACATAGAGGAAGAGCATAAGCAAAAACAATGGCATAATCAAGATTGGAAATTGAAATTACTAGATTCTCAACTCCTATCTAAAAATTATGAAGACGATGTGATGTGACATGATTTATCTCAAGTTCGGATAACTAATCTTTCAAATGTCTCCCTATTTGTAATATTTGTGCAAGTCAAATTCGAAGAACAAATTGAAAGTGGGAAGTTTTTGGACTTTCTATAGTTTTTTGTTGTTATTTATTAAATCAATCTAATTTGAATTAAAATAATTATGATTTGATGTGCTTTTTTAGAGATGATTTGATGTGTTAATGACATGACATCTACATGGAAGTCACGTATTTTTCCAAGTCAACAGCGGTTTGACCTCCGTCCGGTCAATCTTATCTCCATCGGTCAACAAAATACGCAAAGATACAAATGGCACAAAAATATTATACGATGGAACATGTTGTCATATTAAATACATGAGGACAAAAATGGTATTTTTTGGATAGTTCAGATTTTGTAGTAGTATTAGCCCAAATTTTAATGGATGGTTGGGGGGATTTATTGAACTTTCGTAGAGGATACTAAATTTTGTTAGATTGTTTGTTAGAAATCATTCCAAATTGGCCTCAACTCGAGTCATGGAGCATAACATGCTAAAGTTACTTACGTCTATTGAAATTAACTAAATTGGTACTAAAATTTACATGAACCCACTAGAGTATACGGAAATTGACTGGACTAGCTACCATAATAGCTGCTGAAATTTTGGTAGTTTTTGGGAGTTTATAACTCGCATAAAACTTACTTGGCAGATTGGTTACTGGAATTTACTGTACTCCTTGTCAAAGTTTATCGAAATTACTAGATTCTAATGAAAGTTACTAGATTATTTTTTTTAAATTATCCCTCCAATTTCAAAGTCGATTACATTTCTCTCTCAAATTTTCGTGAAAATTTATGTTGACTTAAATTATATGTTAGATTTCAAATTTTAGCGCATCGATGAAAATCTAAATTTGAAAACGATAAGTTTAATACGATATTTAAAGAAATTGCAATCATGCAAGTCCAACAACATCGGGTATTAACACAATTTTTTTCTTTTTTTTCTTTTTGGGGATATGTATTACAAAAAAAAACACAGTCTTCATATCCAATTATGGTAAAAACTATGTGCAAAGATTTAATGAACCACACTTACAAACAAGAAAGATGCATTGAATCAATGTAACAAGAAAAGCAAAAGCAGCAGCAGCAGTCAATTTACCAGCCACTAGCTTGCTTTTGCATGACAAAGGAAGAAGGTGAAAAGAAAAAGAAAAACCCTAGATTTTCGAATAGAATTCCTTAGTTCAGTGGGTTTCAAATCCCGTGTCTTTCTTTTCCCCGTCAGATTCCTTAGTCGCTAAATAAATCGTTTGAAATTTCTAACAGGCCGTGGATTCACCGTAAATGTTGTCAAGCACCGCAATCACTCCGAACACAAACGCTTGATCCACTCCGGGCTTCACCACCACGTAGTACAAATCCATGCTTCTCATCCCTTTCTCCACTCCAATCTGATTTCCCGCCATAAAGAAAAAAAATATATTCACCAAATCAATGGATTGTTCTCCAAAATCCCCGCAAATTGAAACAAGAAAATCAGCTAATTACTTACCTGGGCCATGATGCGGCCCAAATGATCCACAATGGTGCAGGCTTTCTCCGGGAACCGGCCCTGGACCTCGAAATCCCAGTCCCCGCCGCTGGACCTCCTGGGCTCCGTCGAGATCCGGATCGCGCTGGTCCGGCCCAAGCACGAATTGGGCTCCTTCAGCTTGAACACCAGCTTCCTGATCCCTTCGTAATCAAAACTGTAGCCTTTCCACTTCCTGTTAATGCTCAGCGCCTGGACCACGCCTTCCTTGCGACGGATGAGAAGCAAGGCGTCTCCGGCGCGGTCGCGGACCACGAGTTCCCCTTGCGATCCCAGCACCCCGCAGCCTTCCACCCGAAAAACGACACTCTGGGTCGAATCCTCCGTCACCACGAACCCGCCGCCGGTGACGGTTTGGGGCCGTTTTCTGACCGTCAGCACCACCTGCGACGGGGAGCAGTACAGCTTGCTTATGATCGCCACCGGCGCCTTCAATTTCGGACTGGCCATGGACTTGTTTATGTGGAGATATATGGAAGTAATTATATGTCACGCGCCCAGATCTTAGGTTGGAGATGGAGGGAATTGGAACTGTTGTATTTTGTGTATTTGTTTCTTGAATTGGGGAATGGACGTCTCTAACTACTTATAGATAGGGAGGGCCGGAGGGGGGAAATTATTGAATTAAAGACTTGTTTTTGAAGCAATAACGAATTGGGGAGTTGGGTGGGAAGTGGAAGGAAGAAGATGAAGATGCCACCCCTCAAAAATGGCTATCGCCGAATTTGATGAAATGGTGGGGGTTTTGTGGGGACGGGACGGGGGGGTTGAGTTGACGTGTCAAGTTTGGCTCACGCGCCGCCGAACCCTTGGTGCCTGTTACTTACAGGGACAAACCTAAAGTTGCCACGTGGCTGGAAATTCATGGCTGAGATTAAAATTGAAGAGAGTTAGTTTTTCGGTTCTTGGCTGACTGCCCATTGAACTATAGCTTCTTGTGTTAGGTTTTCTGTTTTTCGGAATCCTAAAGTGTAAAAGTTAGTGGTTTTGAGTTTAGAAGCTGAATCGTAAAAGTTAGTGGTTTAGGGTTGAGTGGTTAATCGTTACAAAACTGTTAGCAAATCGTTGATAGAACCGTTCATACTATATAATATATAGGACTTGTATATTACACACTAATTTAAGAATGAAGATATCATTGACCATAAACAACTTCAAATTCATATCATCACCAAAATATCTAATAAATCATTCAAACCATCTCACAAAAGGAAATTATATTTTTTAATTCAAATTGAAAATTATGATATCAGTCGGTAGTGGACAACGTAAATTCGACAACAACGTTGGAATGAGAAGATGAAGCATATATAAAATTAATAATTATGGTTTGATGGTCTTAGTTTATGTTAAAGTTTTTTTTTTTGTTAAAATAGTGAACCAGTGAACTAGTTAAATCGTGATTTTATGTTGAACCGTGAAAAACCGTTTGGTCCACCAATAACCGTCCAAGCAATGAACCGAATCGCTATCGTAACTGGTTTGGTGATTCTACTGGTATGGGCGTTGATCCGGTTCGGTTCTTATAACAATGGTTAGGTTGTTGGTTATCAATATATGGATTTAGTTTCTTAACACCTGAAACATGTATGGGTTTACAATTATTTTTAAACAATGTAGAGATACTTGAGGAGAGTTATATAATAGAATGGACTGAAAATATCAATGTGTATCACAGATTAGAGTGTCATTACGAAAAGGTAGACATGTATTCTATAAACTAATTTTGTTTCTCCGATGTTATGTAAAGAAGACGATAAGTTCACAGATGGTGCTGCCTATATGATAGTCGACTCGAAATCAAACGGTCGGGGTGAAGTAAAACTCAAACCACTTTAGAGGTGAAGAAACAAAATCTTGCACACGAGGAGTCCTCTCAAATCGGAAAGGCAAAATGAGGAACTTGACTAACCGCCAATCGTAACTTCATAAAGGGAGGAGCGCATATCTAGAAAAGATGGAGAATAAAGTGATCCTACAAAAACAATGGTCACGAGAACGGACTATAGGAGAAAACTTACGACACACTCGTCCACAAGCTACCCACAGAAAAACTAGCATAGTGTATATAGTAATTCAAAATTTATGCATATGGTGAGACCTATTGTTTATTTCACTACCATAATGTGAAGATAAGTGATATAATCAGATTCTCCAAACTACAGCTGTAGGAACATTCCTTATATTTTAAATGGCATCATATCCGTACAACACAAATCAACCGTGATTACAAAGGTAACCTCATTATCAATACTATAATATTAGCAAAAGATATGTAATTATTATGTGATTGTATGGTATTACAAGGAATACTTAATTAACACAAGTACGCATCATGGAAGTTAAAACTTGTGAAGGTTCTAACCAATTCTGTAAGAAAATATTCACTCCTTTTCGAATAGTCAAATTTAATTTTGAGTTAGGTGTTAATAAAAGCCCCTTTCTATGCGAATATTTCCACTACAAATATTATTAGGCGGATGGAAGGAATATATTGTTGAAAATGATTTGCCCAACTCCATACTCTTCTTATATATAATTGATGCTCTTCTCCTTTAAATGGGTCGTCGTCATTGGTCCCCTAGCTTAGCTAGCACTATATTTTGGGTTGGAATGGAGAAAGTTCATTAGTAGATATTCCGAAAATAAGTAAGAAAACTAGGTGGCTAGATGGCCGGTTCATTCATGCCTCCATGTTTCACAATTTATCTGCATAGCATAGCTGTTTTGATGTGGAACGATGATTGGTTAGGCAGCTAGCTTGCTCACTAATGAAGAATAAAAACATTTGTATTTTGAGTTGCACATAAATTACACACATATTGAAGTTCAGTTCATCAAATCATTTTTAACACTCCAAGCATTGGTTGATCTCCATGATCACTATGTAGGCGAGATTTTGTTATGTTAATTAATGTGAGTTCCATCATATCTTTTTCACACTTTTTTTATGTTAGCCCACCCCACTCCCCATTGAGACACTCTGATCTCGCCCGAACTAACCTCAAAATCTGCATGACAACGACAATAATGAATTTAAAATCCGTCGAAGGGTTCCGAAAAATGAGGAAAAAAATGTTCAATTATGGTTAATTGGGCACAAGTACAACAAAAATATTCATGACTGAAAAGGAATGAGAGGATAGAACCTAGCAATGTTTTTCAAAAAAGCATTATATTGGGTCCGGAATCTCAACCACTAAGATTCCCACTTTTTGGATTTGACAGAATATGATTGAAGAAAATTAACATAAACAACAAGTTTCTACTCTAATGAAAATCAGAGACTACTCAAAGGAATCGGATAAAAGGATGGTTCTATTCTCTTGAAGAACCAAAAAGGTTCCAAGTCGATTGCCTCCTCATTAGCATAGTCGTTGGATGGATTTGAAAATTCAAAGGTTAACATTTAAAAGAAAAAATAATAAAGGAAAAAGAGTTAGCATGAAGTAGGATCAGAGTCAGGATTTGATGATCGGGAGGTCGGAGTTATTGAATGTATTATATTTATACTATTATTGCAAACTTGAGTAAAATCATAATAAAACCTAATTTTTAATTCATTTATTAGTTATTTTTGTTATGGTGCAAGACTTATTTGAGATAAAGAAAATCACTAAAACAAGAATCTAATTTTTATAACTGTTATGTTCTAATCTAGCTTATAAACCGACCCGTTGGCCGGAATGTTCGTATTTGAGTATTTATATTTTTATGTTATGTTTAATTTTAGGACTTTGCTACGGTGACATGCACTTTTCGGTCGACCTCATATAGGATCAAGTCGACCTAATCTGTTGTTTCAGTGTAAAAACAATTTCATGGTGCCTACTTTGGAGATTCATATCTTACAATTGGCTAGATGGAAATTGGAGATCAAAGGCTTGTTTTGAAGCTGAAGTGTCCCTCTACACATTAAAGTACTTGGGAGCTCAATACAAAGTCCAGAAGACCATTTCTAAACCTGACCAAAAGGCTATGCCAAAACTGGGAAACTGCCTGAAAATGGCCAAGCCTGGCAACGTGTTTGACAAGCCTACTTTGGAGCTCAATTTGAGAAGCATGGATGCGAGTCAAGTCCAGGGGCCTCTACCATGTTAAATTACATATTTTTTTATACAAAGGCAATGCATTGGATGAAAGATTGAATATCTTTAAGGCTTCAAACAAAAGGCTCGAAGTTGCTACGAAGGCTGTTTTTCTGGCCGCTTGCTTGTGCTCGAAGTCTGCCAGAAAAACAGCCTTCGTAGCAACTTCGACCCTTTTGTTTGAAGCCTTACAGATATCCAATCTTTCATCCAATGCCTTGAATTTGTATAAAAACATACCTAATTTAACGTGGCAGAGGCTCTTGGACTCGACTCGCATTCATGCTTCTCGAATTGAGCTCCAAAATAGACTTCACAAACACGTTTCCATACTTGGCCATTTCCAGGCAGTTTCCCAGTTTTGGCATAGCCTTTTGATGAGGTTCAAAAATGGTCTTCTGGACTTCCTATCGAGCTCTCAATCACTTCAATATGTAGAGGGACACTCCAGCTTCAAAACAAGTCATTAGTCTTCAATTTTCATCTAGCCAATTGTATGATATGAATATCCAAAGTAGGCACCATGAACTGTTTTTACACTGAAACAACAGATTAGGTCGACCTGATCCTATATGAGGTCGACCGAATCCTAAATGAGGTCGACCAGATCCTATATGAGGTCGACCGAATTCTAAATGAGGTCGACCTAATCCTAACTGAGGTCGACCGGAAAGTGCAAGTCACCGTGACATGCATGTCACCGTAGACACACCCTTAATTTTATCAATTCATTTAATTTTATTGACATTTCTTTGATCGAGATGATACATAAAAAATGAATGTATAAGTTGAACATTTGAAGAAATGCCATCATCATTTAAGAATATAAAATATAAAAATGTATCATTAATCCCATTTCATAATGATAATTAGGCCCCCGTTAAAATGCTATTGGTTAATTGATTGTCATGAAAGATAGAGTATAAAAGCTCATTGGAATTCCCACACGACCTATAGATAATTGGAAACTAAAACTAAAATCTCAAAATTATACATAAAGGGTTCAATGCTCTCCATTTAGAAACAACATGTCACTAATAAAAAAGAAATTGAGAGTTATTGATTCAAGTCAACCAAATACTAACAACTCAACTAAAAGGGGACCATCAAAACTTGAGAGCAAATGATAGGATTAAAGTTACCTCCAACATAATAATAGAATCGAGCAAAGTAATAAGGCACAAAATTAGACACTCCGTATCTACCAGTTCCAGTAGGTTGAATAGAGAATCGACCTTAATTTCAGTAAATCAATCATTGAATCCTCATTTTAAGATAAACATAGTTGTGGTAGATGCAACAACGATAAATCTAAAGATCCAATAGCCACCACTCTCCGTTGTACAACCAACGTTTTATTTACTCTATCTTCAATCTCAAGAGGCATCTGTTTCAACTCAAAATTCACTTTCTGGTCCTCCTTCCGCAGCTCTTATTTTGCTATTTTGATGGAGCTTCTCTTTGTGACCTTCAATTTCTCTTCAAATTGGGGTTCTTGTCAACTCTCTC